GTCTATCCTTTTCCATCACTACTTTAAAATGAATAGAATTATGATCGCTGCCCCAAAGTAATCTCCCACTGACATCTCAGTCACCTGCCCTGCCTTATTTCCCAAGAGTAGGTCATGTTTTGCACCTTCTCTAGTAGGTACATCCACATACTGAATCAGAAAATTTTCTTGTACGTACTTAACAAATTCCTGTCAATTCAAGTCAAGCCCTTAACACTATGGCAGTCCCAGTCTGTGTTTGGAAAATTACAATCTCCTTCCATAACCACCCTATTATTTTTACAGATAACTGAGATCTCCTTACAAATTTGTTTTTTCAATTTCCCACTGACTATTGGAGGCTCTATAGTGCAATACCAATAAAGTGATCATCCCTTTTTTATTTCTCAGTTCCACCCAAATAACTCCCTGGATGTATTCCCAGGAATATCCTCCCTAAGTACAGATGTAATGTTATCACGAATCAAAAGCAGCACTCCCCCTCCTCTCTTGCCTCCCTTTCTATCCTTCCTATAGTATCTCTACCCTGGAACATTAAGCTGCCAGCCCCATTCATCCCTGAACCATGTCGCTGTAATTGCTATGATATCCCAGTCCCATGTTCCCAACCATGTCCTGAGTTCATCTGCCTTACCTGTCAGGCATCTTGCATTGAAATAAATGGAGTTTAATTTATCAGTTCTGCATCGTTCTCTGCTTTGTTCCTGCCTGCCCTGACTGTTTGACTTGCTCCTTTTCCCAATGGTATTCGTCTCAGACTGCTCTCTTTCCTCACCATCTCCCTGGGTTCCACCCCCCTTTACTAGTTTAAATCCTCCTGAGCAGCTCTAGCAAATCTCCCCGTCAGTTTTTAACCCAGATTGATCATAATTGAAACTGTTTTGCTTATTCCGTCTGGGACTGCAGTGGATCAGATGAGAGGGAAGAGCAAGAGAATTGGAGACAGAGACTCTGGTGCTTTCTAGAAGTGACCAACCACTGCACATTTTTGTTTTGTTTGTTCATGGGATGTGGGCATCACAGGTTAGTACAGCATTTATTGACCAACTTTAATTGCTCTAGAGAAGGTAGAGATAAGCTGCTTTCTTGGACCAACGAAGTTCTAGTGGTATAGGGACATCCGCAGTGCTGTTAGGATGGTGAGTAGCTTGGAGGGGAACTTGCAAGGTGTGGTGTTCCCACGTATCTGCTGCCCTTGTCCTTTTATATGGTGGTGGTCATGGACTTGGAAGGCACTGTCAAGGAGGCTTGGTGAGTAGCTGCAGTGCATCTATAAGATGATACACAATGCTGTCACTGGCATTGGCGATGAAGGGAGTGATGCCATTCAAACAGGACTGTTTGACTTGTGCCTTGTAGATGGTGAACAGGCTTTGGATAGACGGGGTGAATTACCCACTGCATAATTCCTAGCCTCTGATCTACTCTTGTAGCCATTGTATTTATATGGCTGGTCAAGTTCTATTTCTGGTCAATGGTAACTCCCAGGATGTCGGCAGTGCCAAAGTCAGTGACGGTATTGCTGAATTGGTAATCTGCTCATAATAGCAAAGAAGCCATCTGGGCCATAAGAATTATAAGAGTATTAGAAATAGAAGCTGAATTAAATCATTTGGTCTTCAACCCCACTCTTCCATTCAAGAAAATAATGACTGATCTTCCTCCTGGACACCACCTTCTAACGGTATCCCCATATTCCTAATTCTCTCAATAACCAAAAATCTGTTAACTTCTGTGTTGAAGATGCAGAGCAGAACACCAAAGATTCATAGGGAAGAAAGTTTTCCTTGTCTCAGTCCCATTTTCTCAGACTGGTAATTTTCTACATTCCCCATGCTGGGAAAACAGCTTCTCAGGGTCAATCCTTGAGAATTTTATATGTTTCAGTAAGATCACCTCTGTCAAAAAATACATGGTGTGAAAGTTCCATTTAAAAAAGAAAACAGAAAGGAAAAAATATCAGCAACCCAAGATTGTAATTCTTTGCGGTGCTCTCTCTAAAGTGATTTGTGGACAGGAGAGAGGGTCTATTGCGGCAGGATTACAACACTTACCCAACTGGTCCACATCACATAGTTTGTAATAACTAAATGGTAAATGTTCTATTCATATTTGGGTTGAATCACGACAATAGGGCTCAGCAGCAATGACAGAGTCCTGTTTCTGCAGGAAAAGATCTGAGTAATATCTGCATTTTATAATTAAATGTAAAAGAGTAAAGAGAAACAAATAAAAGCAAATATTACTGGAGAAACTGAACAGGTCTTGCAGTATCTGTGGAGAGAAAACAGAGTTAATGTTTCGAGTCCTGTGACCTTCTGGGGATTCAGGTGCATAGATCTTTAAGATGTCACAAAAACATGCAGAAAATAATCAAGAAAGCAATGGGATGTTGGCCTTTATATCTCGAGGACTGGAGTACAAGGATGCAGAAGGTGTACAAAACCCTGGTTAGACCCCACTTGGTGAACAGTGAGCAGATCTGGGCATCACATCTTATGAAGGATAGATTGGCCTTAGAGGGAGTATAAACTATAATTCAGAATTTCTATAATTCAGAAAGTTAAGGCATGATCTGATCAAATTCATCAAGATATTAAATGAAACCGACAGTTTAAATAAAGATAAACTATTTCCACATGTTGGGCATTCTAGAACTAGTGGACGCAGCCTGAGAATTAGGGTCCGACCATTCAGGAAAGATGGTCCAAAGCACTTCTACATACAAAGGGTGGAGTGTTTGGAATTCTCTTCTACAGACAGCAGTGAATACTGGAATGGTTGTTAATTTTAAATCTGAGATCGATAAATTTTTGTTAAGCAGGGGTATTAATGGATATGGGCCAAAATCAGGTCAATGGAATTAGGCCACAGATCAGCCATGATCTCATTGAATGTTGGAACAGGCTGAATGGCCTACTCCTGTTACTATGTTCCAGTGTTCACAGGGCTTGAAATGTTAACTCTGTTTCTGTCTCCACAGATGCCGCCAGACCTGCTGAGCTTCTCCAGCAGTTTTGGTTTTTGTTTGTTTCAGATCTCCAGCTTCCGCAGTTGTTTGTTTTATTTTACGTCAAAGAGTAAAATCTGTTATTGTTTAAGGCCTGAGTGCCCTTTCATTGCCATTGGCTAAGCTATATATGATGTTGCTCTTTATTCATCAGATCAAGTACTTTGACAAAAGAAGGGACTATTTGAAATACAAGGAGAAACTGCAAAGTGGAGGATTTCAGCAACAGGAGAATGTTACCAAACTGTAACCATCTGCAGAAGAGGAGAGCAGGGACAGTCAGCTGTGGAGACAACGTCCCACTGTGAAGGACTCTCCACAGAAGCTGAAATCATTGATATGAAATTGCAGGTGGTTCCTGAGGAGAACTATGGTTGAGAGATCAGCTACTGTTAATGGTGACGGTGATTCCCAAAAATAAAAGTTACACCCAGTTTCAACAGTAGCCACACTTTGGAGAAGAGCAGTTACAGCTGTGGCGCATAACCGTCGCTTGGGACTTAAGATTTTCTCTCTTTAGAGTTTGTAATGTAGTCACAAATATGGTTTGTAATGAATGTATTGACTATTTCACTACAAATGGTAAGCGAAAGATGCCCAAGGAGAATGCTTTTGCACTGTTTCTTGGTGGAACAACACAGTGGCCATTATAATGCTGTCACGTTGGCATTATCAGTTATTGCCAGTCCATTCAGCACTTTGGTCACAGTTTAGTTTAGTCAAGATTGCACTGAGGAAATTATATCTGACCCAGTTAAATGATCACTTCAGATTTTGTCATCTGCCCGTGCTCGAGCTGTGACCAGCTGGCTATTAACTTGTTTCAAAATGTGCTGTCCGAATATGAACCAGGTTTGGAAGAACACAGTTGAGAATTATGTGGGTAGATAGTCATGGTACATCGAGCATGTTGAGAAAGTTGGGCTTAAGGGCGTGCTGTTGACCCTGATTACACTTTAATGGAAAATCAGAGATCACTTAATAAATTATTTTAAAAATCATACTGTCCATTTATAAAATTAAATTATTTTTGTAAGACAGAATTTTCTAGCAAAGGATAGCATGATATCAGAAAGTTGGCTGGTCCCAGGGTGGTCTCTCCAAACCTGAATGCAGCACAGGGTAAATGCTTCCCCCTGCTGGTGTACCAATATATCAACCGGATTCCCATTAACTGCAAATTGGACCCTATTCATCATTTAAATTATTTAAATGTACGTTACTGAAATTTAAAAAAAAAGTTTATCCTTTAACAAGTGCACATTACTCTAATAGGAATCATTTTTTAAAAAATGTTTTTTGAGAAATTTTGACTTCACAACTTGTCTCTTCAAATAACCTTCATTTAAGGTTTACATGTGGCAGAAAATATTCAGCCAGCTTACCAGTTTGGAGAAATATTTAAATGATAAAATTAAACATATAAGAAAAGTTAATTAAAACATGTTTTTGAGTCAAGAGCATGTGTCAGCCAGCACTTTTAAATGTCGCGTGATTTTTAAACAGCTCCTCTCACTACCGTCACCAGTGACAGACTTGGCTCTTTCAAGTACAAACTAGCTGTGGAAGAATAAATCTGCTGGATGTCTTCTTTCATAGCTCAAGTGGGTGTTGTGCAAGAAATGCATATATACACACTCATATGGCTTATCAAAATCCTGCTGGCGATACGGACTGTCCTATCGTGGCCCCCAAAAAGTTACTGCTTTGAAACTGCTGCTGCCTGTAAAGATCATTTGGAAGATATGCAGGTACACCTTTTTAATCAGTTCCAATTTCTTATGGAGTTATAACAATTTTACCATTTCACTAGAAATAGCACCTAGAGTAAATTTTTGCTATATGTCACCGATGCAACATGACCAGAGGGATTCTCCCAATCTCCTCCCCCTCCTCACTCTGGGATTGGCTGCAATACATGCCTTTCTCTGTGATTTCCTGCATTGTTTCCATTTCTGTTTCTATTTCATGACTTTAATTAATGTATTGGCAACATCACCCCCATCCTGCCCTATTTAATAGTTGTTGAATAACGAAACTTGAAGTTAATTAATTTACTGGACTTCTTTAAAAAGATCGAGACCGCTGAATGTGGTCTGTTCCCATTTAATCCTTGGTGTGTATTCATAGAAAATCATAACTTGTATCTTTCTGTGATCATGGTGGAGGTATTTTGTGAGATAAATTCTATGGTTTGTTCTCCGTATTGATTGTATGTATCGGTGTTTTATTCTCTGGACTACCTACTGCCACTGCACTGGTACTGTTGGCACTATCAATGTGCACCCACAACTGAAATCTAGTGCTAGCTCTGACCATATGCACAAGGACCCTCGACTCCGTATCCTCTCCCAAAAGTCTCCTTGTTTGTGGGCAGCAGACAGACAGCAAGGAAGCACATTGGTGAGTGGGAGGGAGACAGTGAGGGTTCAGGATTAGGGCGAATGAGTGTTTGAGTGGACCTGGTATTTTATTGCTCCTCTTCTTTGATGTAGGCATCCCACTGCAGCATTGCTCACAGTCACAGGTGCTACAACTGCATGGGCCCATCGTGGCCCCAGTAGTTTCGGAACCAACAAATGCAATCTTCTTTACTGTGCTGATTTAAGTGACCTGTTCCATTAGTTAACCCCTCACTCACCAGGTCCAAGATTAAGAATGTGGGATCCTCAACAGCAGGGAGGCAAGTGTGAGGCTGGAAGGAGATAGAGTAATCAGAAATAGCGAGTTGAAGAGACAGGTCACGCTGGAACAGGACAGGGAATGAGGAATGCCTGTTCGATTAAATTGCATCTATTTCAATGCAAGGGGGCTGACAGGTAAGGCTGATTAACTCAGGGCATGGATAGGAACTTGGGACTGGGATATTATAGCCATTACAGAAACATGGCTAAGGGAGGGACAGGACTGGCAGCTTAACGTGCCAGGGTACAGGTACTTTAGGCGGGACAGAGGTGGAGGAAAGAGGGGAGGGGAAGTTGTATTTTTGATTAAGGGAAGTATCACAGCAGTAGTCAGAGAATAAATAACTGAGGCATCATCCAGTGAGGCTTTGTGGGTGGAGCTAAGAAATAAGAAGGGGATGGTGATGTTATTGGGGTTGTACTAAAGGCCCCCAAATAATCAATGGGAATTAGAGGAACAAATATGCAGGGAGATTGGGGGAGATTTGCAGGAGAAATAGGGTTGTCACAGTGGAGGATTTTAATTTTTCTAACATAGACTGGGACTGCCATAGTGTTAAGGTCTTAGGTGGAGTGTAATTTGTTAAATGTGTTCAGAAACATTTCCTCAAACAGAATATAAAGGGCAAAATGCGACCTACTCTTAGGAAATAGGGCAGGATGGGTGACAGTGGGAGAGCACTTTGGCACCAGTGAACATAGCTCTATTAATTTTAAAATAGTTATGGAGAAGGACAAAACTGGTCCACAGGTTCAATCCCAAATTGGGGCAAGGTGAATTTTGATGGAACTAGGCAGGAGCTTGTAGGGGTTGATTTGGAGTAGTTTGTTTCCAGGCAAAGGGACCTTCGGCAAGTGGGAGGCCTTTAAAAGTATGATAGCTAGAGTTCAAGGTCTGTATGTTCCTGTGAGGGTGAAGGGCAAGGTTGGCAGGAGTAGGGAACCCTGGATGACGAGATATTGAGGCTTTGATGAGAAAGAAGGAGGAGACATTTCTCAGGAACGGGCAGCTGGGATCAAGGGAATCCCTGGAGGTATATAGGGGATACAGGAGTTTACTGAAGAAGGAAATCAGGAGGGTGAAAAGGGGGCACAAGATGGCTTTGGCCGAGAAGATTAGGGTGAATCCAAAGAGATTCTTTAAGTATATTAAAGAAAAAAAATAATTACAGAGACAATAGGACCCCTCAAGAGCCAAAGTGGACATGTATGTGTGAAACCACAGAAGATGGGTGAGGTCCTTAATGAATATTTCTCCTGTGTGTTTACCGTGGAGAAAGACATGAAGACTTGGGGAGGTTAGTGGTGATATCTTGGGGACAGTCCATATTATAGTAGGGGATGTGTTGGAAATGTTGGAATATATGAAGGTGGATAAAGCTCCCGGTCCTAATCAGATACATCCAGGATCCCTGCAAGAGGCTACAGAAGAAATTGCGGGGGCCCTGGCTGATATATTTGTATCATCGTTAGCCTTGGGTAAGGTCCCAGAAGACTGGAGGGTAGCAAATGTTGTGTCCTTATTCAAGAAGGGCTGCAAAGAAAAACCTAAGAATTATAGACAAGTAAGCTTAACATCTTTAAGAGGTAAGGTACTTGAGAAGATTCTGAGGGATAAGACATACGTGCATTTAGAAAGACAGGGTTTGAGTAGGAGTAGTCAGCATAGCTTCGTGCGTGGGAGATCATGCCTCACAAATTTGTTAGAGTTCTTTGATGAAGTGACCACAAAGGTTGATGAGGGCAGGGTGGTAGATGTAGTCCATACGGATTTCAGTAAAGCCTTCAATAAAGTTCCACATGGTAGGCTGCTCTGGAAGGTTAGATTGCATGGAATCCAAGGAGATTTGGCAAGTTGGATGCACAATTGGCTTGATGGTAGGAAACGGAGAGTAATAGTGGAAGGATGCTTGTCTGACTGGAGGCCTGTGGCTAGTGGTATGCCTCAGGGGTCAGTGTTGGGCCCATTGCTGTTTGTTATCTATATCAATGATTTGGATGAGAACGTACAAGGCGTGATTAGTAAGTTTGTGCTTGACACTAAAATAGGCGGTACTGTGGACAGTGAGGAAGGTTATCAGAAATTGCAGCAGGATCTTGATCAGCTGGGGAAGTGGGTCGAGAAGTGGCAAATGGAGTTTAATATAGATAAGTGTGAGGTGTTGCATTTTGGAAAGTCAACTCAAGGTAGGAGTTTCATGGTGAATGGTAGGGCCTTAAGGAGTGTAGTGGAACAGAGGGACCTTGGAGTTCAGATACACAGTTCTCTGAAAGTGGAGTCACAGGTATATAGGGTAGTGAAGAACGCTTTTGGCACACTGGCCTTCATCAGTCAGGGCATTGAGTATAGAAGTTGGGAAGTTATGTTGCAGTTGTACAGGATGTTAGTGAGGCCACAATTGGAGTACTGTGTTCAGTTTTGGTCACCTTGCTATAGGAAGGATGTTACTAAACTGGAAAGAGTGCAGAAGAAATTTACAAGGATGTTGCCAGGACTCAAGGGGCTGAGTTATTGGGAGAGGTTGGACAAGCTAGGAGTTTTTTCTTTAGGGCTTAGGAGACTGAGGGGAGATCTTATAGAAGTGTATAAAATCATGAGAGGTATGGGTTAGGGTGAATGCACTCAGTCTTTTTCCCAGGGTTGGGGAATCGAGGACTAGAGGGCATCAGTTTAAGGTAAGAGAGGAAAGAATACATGGGAACCTGAGGGGCAATGTTTTTACACAGAAGGTGGTACGCATATGGAATGAGCTGCCAGCAGAAGTGGTTAAGGTGGGTACATTAACAACATTTAAAAGGCATTTGGATAAATACATGGATAAGAAAGATTTAGAAGGATATGGGCCAAGTGCAGGGAAATGGGGTTAGTGTGGATGGACATTTTGGTTGGCATGGACCAGTTTGGACTGAAGGGCCTGTCTCTATGCTGAAGGACTCTATGACTCTAATGTTGGTGAGTCACGAGATATGGCAGTAAAGCTACCTCTGCCTTTGCCCATCTGTTCAGAAGAATATCCTGCAGTTCTGTTGTGTTTCTCGATGTATTTCTGGCAAAAAATTTGGTTCAGAATTTCAGACTTTTACCACGTTTGGGATCTTAAAAATATCTAATTCCAGTACCTCTTGAAAGCCTCGATTGAAGCAGACCCACTGCACTCTCAGGCAGTGCATTCCAGCCCCAAACCACTTGCTGATTGTGAAAGATCCACTTCAGGCCTCCATTGTTTCTTGTACCAATTATCTTAAATCTGGGCCCTTTGGTTCTTGATCTTTGCACCAGTGGGGACAGTTTGTACCCACCTACTCTGTCCGCACCCTTCATGATTTTAAGTACAGTACCTCTATCAAATCTCTTCTCCAAACTAACCCAGTCTGCACAAACAATGGAAGGTCCTCATTCCTGGAGCTATTCTCATGAACCTTTTCCTGCACTGTGCCCAGTATCTTAATCTCTTTCCAAAAATATGGCATTCACAACTGGGCACAGAACGCCAGGTGAGGCCAAACCAGTCATCCAAATGCGTTTTAACAATTTCCTTACTTTTGGACGTTTTTCCACACACCCCACCCAACCATTAATAAATCTTATGGATACCAGTGTATTTATGAAATAATGCCGTAATTTTAACGTACCTGAACTTTAACCAGGTCATTGGAATGACATTGTTTTGTCAATAATTTTAGAGCAAATATCAACCCACTTTCAAAAAAAAAAGGGTTAATGGCCAGATACAATACCAACTTTACTGGAACAAGTTAGAGCTTCATATTTTGTTATCAGCAACTGGGATATGGCAGAAATTATAACTTTGCAAAATTACACAACAGTGTTTGGGGCAACCAGAAAGAAGCCAGGTTTTACAGCCGTAGAAATGATTTCCCACCAATGAATAAGAACGAACAGAAAATCATGGGCTTCAGACTCATGCATCCCTGCAATGTGCTCCTGATATGCATTATGTTATCCTGTTTGAATCAAGGTGCTGATCCTTTCCCATTAAACAGCATAATTCTTTGGTCAAAAACCCTGAACAGAACAGGGGATTGATAGCGTACACTCTGATGGTGAAATTGCAGCCGAACATTTGTGTCTATTTTTCAAATTTTCTGCAACTCCAGTAACCACAAAGGAAAAACAAAATATTGCACAATGTTATGAAGAGTTTTTTTGAGATTAGTGTTAAAGGATTGTAGTAAGTGGTGCATTTGGATTCTTGAACCTTTTTGTTTAACAGGTCATGGGCAACAGGACACCTTGTTTTCCCAAAACTACTTATTAGAAGTTGTATGATTTGAATTGACTAGACAGCTAAGTCTGTGGAGAAATTGCTGGGAAAAGCTCAGCAGCTTTGGCAGCAACTGTGGAGAGAAATCAGAGTTAATGTTTCAGATCCAGTGACCCTTCCTCAGAATTGAACAGAACAGAACTTCCACCATCTTGTAGTTTTTTTGATTTTTATTAAATTTGTGAAGCTGCTGGATTTACTGGAAATCATTTGCCTGAAGATTATGGATTTGTTTTTGGATATTGTTTGTGAAGTTCATTTGGGGTACAGCTTACTGAGAGAGAGAGAGAAAGAAGCTACCCAGCTCATCCTCTGCCTTTCCAAGATGACACTTTTGGAGAATCCAGCATGAGACCCGAAAAACCGATATAACTATGTCCTGAAAATCTGCTCAAAAAGATATTATCGATGATTCCTCATGACCTCTCTTGAACAAACTATGTTTGAAGACCCCAGTGTCAGCTGTCTATGTTTAATGATCTTGCTGGAACTGGTGGAAATTGCAGGGGCTGATCCACTAAATACAGAGGTTGGAAGATGAAGACAAGGGAAATGCTTTCATGGCAGGAGAAGAGGTGAGCGCAGAGGCATGAGATGTGTTGGAAAATGCATTGGAAGGTTGCCCTGTTAACCACAATGAATGGGAATCCTTGGTTGAGGGACAAAAAGACAACATGTTGGACTGGTGTGGATAGTAGCGTCAATAGAACAGATGTGACAAAGATGTCAAAACTGGAACAGAGTCTTTACAGGAAGCAGGGCAAGAAGACCTGCAGTTCCAGAAACTGTGGGAGTACATGGCTTTATGGTAAATATTAATGGTTAGGCTATCTCTAAAAATGGAGACAGAAAAGTCAAGGAAGGAAAGAGACAGACACGGATCAGGTGATGGGGAGGGAAGGGAAGAGATTGGGAGAAAAAAAATTCAGTGAAATTTTCCAGTTCAGCCTGGCGTAGCACCAATACTACCTTTTATAGTTATCAATTATTAGAAAAAGAGAATAGGAGGAGGTCTGGAATAAGGATTGTTACACATCACAAAAGACAGGTACAACAGGGAACAATGTGGTACTCGTAGCAACTCCTTTTATTTGGAGGAAGTGAATGGAATTGAAAGAGAAGTTGTTTAGCGTCATAGAGATGTACAGTACAGAAACAGACCCTTTGGTCCAACTTGTCCTTGCCAACCTGATTTCCTATATAAATGTAGTCCCATTTGCCAGCATTTGGCCCATATCCCTCTAAACCCTTCCTATTCATATACCCATCCAGATGCCTTTTAAATGTTGTTATTGTACCAGCTTCCACCACTTCCTCTGGCAGCTGATTCCACATACACAAACCCCTCCGCGTAAAAACGTTGCCCCTTGGATCCCTTTTATATATTTCTCCTCTCACCTTAAACCTATGCCCTCTGGTTTTGGACTCCTGCATCCTGGGGGAAAAAGACCTTGCTTATTTACCCTATCCACGCCCCTCATGATTTTATAAACACCTATAAACACCCCAGCCTATTCAGCCTCTCCCTATAGCTCAAATCCTCCAACTTTGATTACTTTTTGAAGCAATTGCATTGTCAATTGAACTACAATCAACCAGAAGTCATACAGTCTCTCTTACCAGGAAAGGCCCAGTGAGTTACTCCAAACAGACTTTCTGCATTGTCAGGAGAACTTTTCAACTTTGAATTTGTCTGTACCATTTTGTTTCACTTCATGAGACTGTCACCTAGTAACACGACTGATGTTGACCCACACTCTATTTGTAAAGACAATGTTTAAAGAAATGTTTATTGTCTTTCTATACGTTGAAATTTTCATTTTCGATGTTTCAGAATCTGGTGTCACAGTAGTGAGAACACTTGAAGAATTCAATTGAGGTCCACACTTAGGCTGAGAAAACAAGTCACATTAAATAAAACGATGGTTTGTTTATAAAAAAAAAGGCAACAATTTGCATTGATAGTATAACCTTTAATGGGGAAAAGAGGACCCAAGGTTGTAAGAATCAACAGAAATTGCTGGAAAAACTCAGAAGGTCTGGCAGCATCTGTGGAGAGAAAGCAGAGTTAATGTTTTGGGGTCCAGTGACCCATCTTCATAACCGATGGTGGCTAGGAAAAGGTTGGTATTTATGCAAGAGATAGGGCGGAGTGAGCGGGGCGCGGGTAGTAAATGATAGGTAGAGATAGAGCCCAAGGAGAGAGAAACACAGTTGGACAGGCAAAGGGCTGGGTTAAAGTCAGCCTTAATAGCTGCTAATTGGAACCATTTGTGGCTGACAATGGGTTGACAGGTGTGTTGTAGTAGCCCATGTGATGACAAGGCCTGGAGTGTGGGGGCTTAGGATAAGGATGTGGAAGAAGATGGTCATCATGTAGGTCATGCTTAAGCCGAATTCTGATGGGTGTGTGGCTCGATGTGAGATGACTCACCAGAAGCAGAGTCAAGAATGAGCTAAAGTTTATGGAGAGTGGAGGGTGGGAGGCCAGTCAGGTCAACATGGGATTAATTGAGTGTGGAGGCAACAATAAACTGATAAAGGTTTAAGCAGCAGATGGTGTCAGGGAAGAAATGATACAGAGGTGGAGGTAAGATGGTTTCTATTACACTAAGAATATGGTTTGGAAATTCAGCTGGAGAACAATGCCATTTTGAACAGTCAGATTCAGTCTGGAACAGGACTGTGAAGTCAATGGTGAAGGTACAGAGCTGGTCATTGGAGTGGGGCAGGGGGAGTGGTGACAATGATTTTAGTCTTGCCAATGTTTGATTGGAGAGAATTATAGTTAATCTAAGACTGTGTGTCAAACAGTTCAAGAGCACAGAAACAAAAGTGAGGTTGGGAAAGTTGGTGTAGAGGTAGAGTGGGTATTAATTGAATGGCATTATTCACTTCTTTAACAGAGGCATTGACCCATTTAAAGTCATCAAGTTAACAATACTGTTATATTAGCGGAGAAATACCATTTAATTGATGAATTAACTCATTAGCCTTTGACCATTAATTTTGTACATTGAAACATGAGCAGGCCATTCAGCCCACAATAAAAATCAATGAACATCAGTTATTATACTGCAGGTTCCAAACAGTCATCACAAAACTTGAACCACTTACTTATCTTACCTGAAACACACTAATTTACCAGCTAACAAAGGAATCCTACAAACAACAATACAAAGTGACTTTGGGTGCACAGAACTCTTTGTGCCCAATTTTAACTGTGCGTCAGGGAATGGATTTTATCTGAGTTCAAATCTTGCTCTTTGGCACAGTCAAGCAGTATCCTGTTGAACTGAAACATGGAGCTGGTTGCAACATCCATGCTTTGATATCTAACCTTTAGTAATGTAAGAACATTTTCATTCTTTTGTAGCCCATTAAACAAAATATGAAAATTGTCAATAAAATCAGAAAATACAGGAGAAACCCAGCTGGTCTGGCAGTATCTGTGGAGACGTGAAACAGATTAACACATTTTGAATCCAATGTGACTCATCTTCTGAAGAATGATTAGCACATTTGCCTTTTCAGCTATGAGGTCTTGACAGAATTCAATAAAGAGTGATGAAGATAAATTCAACTATTCAAATTATTTATTCCTTTATTGTGTTTCTGTTTGTTTGCCTTTTGCAGATAACGTCACTGTGGGTGGAGGGCTGGAGGTTACACTAAGCACAGGGCATTGACAATCTGAAGCTTCCCTCTCCATAGATGCTGCCAGACCTGCTGAGATTCTCCAGCATTTTCTGATTTTATTTCAGATCGCCAGCATCTGCAGTATTTTGCTTCTACCAAGATGAAAATTGGATGATTAGCGAGACAGAAAGTAGGGTTTCTTTTTGGAGCCAAGTATGATAAACTAAGGGCAGAGTTGCATCATCTCGAACCATCTGCAAATGCTAATGCGCAGAAGATGTTCAATGTAAAATGGCATCAGGTTGATGTTCTCTTGCTATGTGTATCTATAGAGCATGGAGGAAGCCAGTCAGTGTGTGACTGTGGGCGATTGAGGTGTTGCACAGTCAGTTTAAACCTGCAGCAATCAGCACAGACCAAATCTGAACTGGTTTACTAAAGATGGTTTAACACCTGCTCTGAGATCTTAGCTGAATTCAATAAGAATTGATAGCAAATGTAATTTTCTGAAACCCTAACTGTGGTTTGGTTTTCTGTCTGTTTACCTCTCCCAGGGTAGATCACATGACAGCGAGTGGGGTGGATGGAGCAATTGGTCATTTCCTGTGTGTCAAGTTTATGTAGGGTAATGCCCTTTCTTCATGGTTCTGTGTCTTTAATCCCGCTTCTATCTTTTGGGCTCTAGGGCCCTGTGTAAGACAGGTGCTGCATGGCCCACTTTGCTTACGGCTATGGAATGTCAACTGCATCTAGTAGCAAGGGCATGTGTCTGCCTGTACCAGCAGTGAGAGGACACGTGTCTGCCTGTACCAGCAGTGAGAGGACACGTGTCTGCCTGTCCCAACTGTGAAGGGTATGTGTCTGCCTGCATCAACAGAGAGGGGCACGTATCTGCCTGTACCAACCGTGAAGGCGTGTCTGCCTGTACCAACAGTGAAGGGCTTGTGTCTGCCTGGATCAATAGAAAGGGGCATGTGTCTGCCTGTACCAACAGCGAGAGGACACGTGTGCCTGTCCCACCAGCGAGGGGCACATATCTGCCTGTACCAACAGTGAAGGGCACGTGTCTGCCTGTATAACCAGTGACTGAATACAATACCCAACCCTCCGAAAGTTCATTCATTCACTTTGGCATGTCCTTTGAGGGCAGGAGGGAAGCCTCCCCAAGAGGCAAATACAAAGGTTCAGGTACAGGTGGGCAATGTTCCAGCATCTACAACTCGACAATGGTGTTGTTCTCCACCTTCACTGTGATCTTTCCAAATATGAAGGTGGACATGGGTTTCTCACTGAGGGGTGGAGAGGCCAGCAGCATGGTGTCCGTTTCTGGCGGCACGTGCTGGGGAACATTTAAATAGCGGGTACCAGGAATCTCGCTCCGCCGTCCTCCAGGCTCTTCCAATGTCCGTTCGGGCGGGAGAAATAGCGGAGAGTCAGCTGAGGCGTCGAAGGGCGAGCGATCCTGAGGGAAGGAGCTGACGGAAAAGACAGACAAGGACCGGGTGTGCAGCCGACGTTGGGGGCTGAGCTGGGTGATGGCAGTGGCATTGGAGTTGGTCCTCTTCTGCTCAGTGCCCGGGTTGGGCTGGAAGAGGGAGACGGCAGCTCCTCTTCCTCCTCCTCCTCCAGCGGCCTTGGCCCCCTCCTCCTGCCGGGGTCTCGGGCCTCTCAGCCACACCTTGGCCTCCAGCCTACGTTGCCAATAGCGCAGGGCCTTACGGAAACGCCGGCTCAGCAAGGCGTACAGCAGCGGGTTAATGTCCGAGTTCAGGAGAGCCAGCCAGTGCACGGCCGTCACCACAGCAGGTGGAATGCGGGAGGGGGAGGGGGCTCGGGCCTTGCCTGCTCTCAGTGCCGCTGCCTCCACAGCCCGTACTAGGCCCACAATCTCGTACGGCACCCAGCAGCAGAAGAAGGCAAAGATCACCAGGAAGAGGCGGAAAGCACCGTGGTGCTCCCGGCCTGGAGAGCCGCACCGGGAGAAGATGTCGGGTCTCTTGCCCAGGCCCCCTGCCCGAGCCTTGGCCTGTGCGTGGGCCTCGACCTGAGTCTGGGCCTGGGCCTCCTCGCAGCCCCGCGAGTCGACACTGCAGATCAGTTGGGAAAACGTGGGCCTGTCGCCGGGCTGCTGCCCAGGGTTGCCATGGCGATGAAGCTGGCTCTCGATGTCATGGATCCGCTTTGCATGTCCCCGCGCCACCTTGACGATCCGGGCGTAGCAGAAGACCATAACCGAGGCGGGCAGCAAGAAGGAGAAGACGGCCACAAAGCCTGTGTAGGTCAGGCTGTCGGCCCACTCCACCGAGCAGCTGTAACCGGCCGGCAAATAGCCAAAACGGCCCCAGCCAAGCAACGGGGGGCAGCTGCTGAGGGCTGATTGCAGCCAGATCCACACCACGGTGGCAACTGTCCGACGCACGGTGCTCTGGGAGTTATACTGCAGGCAGTCGATGATGGCATGGTATCGGTCCAGGGCAATGGCTGCCAGTGTCAGCACTGAGGCTGTGCAGTAAACCGAGGAGGTGTAACCCACATAGAGGCATAGATCCTGCAGCCAGAGAGAGAGAGAGAAAGGAAACACACAACAGGCAACAATATCAGTGCAGGCAGCAACAGTGGGCTCGCTGCAAACCACCTAGGAACAAGAGCAAACTATTCACCCCCTCCTTCCCCCAGCCAATCCCCATTCAAATAGAATTGCATTCTTCAAAGGGAAATCATAGCTGAGTATCAGAATAAGGGGAGGGGGCGTGGGTCACGCATTTAAAGACAAAAGAGAGGAATTTCTTCTCTCAGAGGGATGTGACTCTGTGGAATTCTTTACAGCAGAGGGCTGGGTTGTTAAGTATATTCAAGCTGAGGTAGACAGGTTTGTAATGAGTGAGGTTGTGGGGAAAAGGCAGGAAAGTCAAGTCAAGGATTATCCGTCCAATAGCTGGACGCTCCAGGGAGTGGAGATTGGCCAGTAATGGTTGGTGACTGTAATTCCGACAGTAATTCCATCGGGATTGGGATGACTAGCAGTCTCCAGATTCAAAGGGTCAGTGTCCAGAGTTGGGTACGTGTGCGTCTGAGTGAGTGGGTGGTTGGATGTCCCAAACTGCTGACTGGAAGTGAGGGAAAGGCAACATTTGTTGTTTGGGGAGGGGGTGTGGTGGTTGCTGTCTACTGTGGAAAGGGACCTTCGAGGGAGGCCCCCCCTCCACCCCCACAACTCCCAACCCGACCACCTCACTTTCACACCCAGGGCCTGAGTAAAATGACTCGCAGGCTTCACCAGTCCATGCCCACAATCCGAACCCATCAGCCTCAAGGAAACAGTAAGAATTGGTCAGTGACGACCTCAACTGGGATAGGACAGGTCCACATTAAATTGCAGAGAGGTTGGGCAGCTGGGAGGGGAGAGAGAGACCCACCTGGGGAATTGATGGGCCCCTCTGCCCACAGACCCTTCAGCAGGTGAGAATCAAATTCTGGTCCTCCAATATGCAGCACACAAACAAACAGACCACTCGGCCCAACAGTTTAATGCAGGAATTTGTCCTCCATTTCAACTTCCTCGCAGCTTACATCATCTCATCTTATTAACAGATCCTTCTATTCCATTCCCCTCTGTTCCCCCTCCCACCCACCCCTGTAATTAGGGGAAGCAATGGCCTAGTGGTATTATCATTAGACTATTAATCCCAAAAACTCAGCTAACGTTCTAGGGACTCGGGTTTGAATCCCACTATGGTAGATGTGGAATTTAAATTTAAATAAAATCTGGAATTAGGAGTCTAATGATGACCACAAACTCAACTGGGGTTCACTAACGTCCTTTGGGGAAGGAAATCTGCATCCTTACCTGGTCTGGCCTACATGTGACTCCAAATCCACAGCATTGTGTTTGGCTCTTAACTGTCCTCTGGGCAATTAGAGATGGGCAACAAATACTGGCCTAGCTAGTGATGCCCGTGTCCATGAGTGAATACAAAAATAAATTATCTAGTATCTCCACTATTTACCTCACCTAGTTCCAATTTCTAACCAGACTCTGAGTGAAGACATTCACTGCTAATTGCACACTAGTTTTGGCACAAATGGAAGCATTTTTCCACATCTACCCTATTAAACTTGTTTGTAATTTTAAAGATCTCTAATAGGTCACTGTTCAACCACTTCTTTTTTCTGTAGTATATTGCTGATGGATGCAAACTTTCATTTCTGGTATTAGCCTTGTAAATTTTTCTTCTCAAACATAGAAAATGCCAGAGAAACTCAGCAGTCTGGCAGTATCTGTGGAGAGAGAAACAGAGTTAACATTTTGAATCTAGTACGACTTGTTCTTCAGAACTGAAAGGTGTTGAAAAATAGGTTTTATAATACTTTGACAGAGGTCGAGGAGGATCAAAAGGGTAGATGATGTAGACACCCAGAGCTGATGACAAAGAGATGCTTACTGGTGAAGTAAGAAAAAGAAATGATGTTAAATGGATGTAAACCTTTTTAGTACCTTGTCCAGTGTCTACATTCTTGAATTCCAAATGTGGTCTCACCATGTTCTATTTGAGTTCAACACCATTTCTCTGCCTTTCAATTCTATTCATCTGGAAGGAAAATTAAATCCTGGCTAATTTCTGCCCACAACTCCCCTTGCCTGCTTTTGTTTAGTGCTCCTTAATTCCCTTGCCTACAATCTACTGACGTCAGCTTTGAAATTTTCAATTGACCCCCAGTGTCAAAAGTGTTTTGGCAGAGAGAGAGTTGCAGATTTCCCACTGCAGTTCTGTGTGATGCAGTGTTCCTTGCTATCAATCCTGAATGGACCTGTTCAAATCTCACTCTATCTCCTTATTCTGGACTCCCCAAATCAGAGGAATTACTGTGTCTCTTATCAATTTAAATAAATTCTTTAATCATCTTAAAATGACTCCGTAAAATCACCTCTTTATCTTACATACTCAAATGAGCCCATCTTTTCAATTTAAGCCATTTAACTACTCCATTGTGTTCTGTGCAACACTCCCAATACCAAAATCTCTTTCCTGAGGGATTGTGCTCAGAACTCAACCCTCCCCTTCTCCACTATGTCCAACCTGGACTTTATACAATGAGGTTAAGTTTGGACCTGAAGATTAGAGGCTCCCTTTTAAACATTAAGTTCTAAAGTTTTAACATTGCAACCTCTGCAAAATGATCACCCTTATGGGATTCTCTGATGGCTTTCTGTGAGTGCAATGTGGACTGTGACAGATGACAACAACTTGCATTCATACAGCACCTTTGGTGCAGTCAAAGGTTCCAAGGTCCCAGCAGCTATAATCGGACAACATTTCACACACAGCCATTAGAATAGGTGACTAAGTGACTTAGTTACAGAGGCAAGTTTTAAATGGCATCTTAAAGGGGATCTGGAGCAATGTTTATCTCGAGAGTCAGTGTCACCCTTAATAAAATCAGTGTGTCCATTTATATGTGAAACCACAGGAGGTGGGTGAGATACTAAAGGCATATTTCAGTCCGTGTTTACGGTAGAGAAGGATATGGAAGCTAGAGAACTTGGAGAAATAAATAGCAACAGCTTGAAAAGTGTCCATTTTACGGAGGAAGAGGTGCTGGGGTTCTTAAAATGTACTAAGGTGGATAAATCCCTAGGACCTGATCAGGTATATCCCAGAACTTTGCGGGAAGCTAGGGAAGTGATTGCTGGGCCCCTTGTATCATCGAAAGCCGCAGATGAGGTGCTAGAAGACTAAAGGTTGGCTAACGTGGTGCCACTATTTAAGAAAGGGATGTCAGGAAAAGCCAGGGTACTATAGACTGGTGAGCCTGACATCAGAGGTGGGTAAGTTGTTGGAGGGAATTCTGAGAGACAGGATTTACATGCATTCGGAAAGGCAAGGACTGATTAGGGAGAGTTAACACGGCTTTGTGCATGGGAAATTGTGTCTCACTAACTTGATTGTGTTTTTTGAAGAAGTGACAAAGAAGGCTGATGAAGGCAAAGTGGTGGATGCCGTCTATATTGACTTCAGTAAGGCTTTCATCAAGTTTCCACATGGTAGACTGGTTAGCAAGGTTAGATCACATGGAATCCAGGGGAGCTAGCCAATTGGATACAAAATTGGCTTGAAGTTAGGAGACAGAGGGTGATGGTGGAAGGTTGTTTTTCGGACTGGAAGCCTGTGACCATCAGTGTGCCACAGGGATCGGCTCTGGGTCCACTGCTTTTTGTCATTTATATAAATGATTCAGATGTGAATACAGGAGTTACACTTAGTAAGTTTGGTGGTGTAGTGGACAGTGAGGAAGGTTATCTCAGAGTACAACAGGACCTTGATCAGTTGGGCCAATGGACCAAGGAGTAGCAGACAAAGTTTAATTTAGATAAGTGTGAAGTGTTGCATTTTGGTAAGGCAAACCAGGGGAGGATGTATACAGTTAATAGTAGGGCCCTCAGGAGTGTCACCAAACAAGGAGACCCAGAGATGCAGATGCATAGTTCCTTGAATGTGGAGTCACAGGTAGACAGGGTGATTAAGAAAGTGTTTGGTACGCTTGCCTTCACTGGTCAGTAAATTGAGTATAGGAGTTGGGATGTCATGTTGTGGCTGTACAGGCCACTTTCGGGATACCGCATTCAATTCTGTTCTCCTTGCCACAGGAAAGGTGTTGTTAAACTTGAAGGGGTTCAGAAAAAAGATTTATAAGGCTGTTGCTGGGATTGGAGGGTTTGAGCCATTGGGAGAGACTGAATAGGCTGGGGCTATTTTCCCTGGAGCGTCAGAGGCTGAGGGGTGACTTTATGGAGGTTTATAAAATCATGGGGATCGTGGACAGGGTGCGTAGCCAAGGTCTTTTTCCCAGGGTAGGAGAGTCCAAAACTAGAGGGCATAGGTTTAAGGTGAAAGGGGAAAGATTTAAAAGGAACCTAGGGGGCAACTTTTTCATGCAGAAGGTGGTGCGCATATGGAACGAGATGCCAGAAGAAGTGGTGGAGGTGGGTAAAATTATGACTTTTAAAAGGCAGCTAGATGAGTATCTGAATAGGAAAGTTTAAGAGGGATATAGACCAAATGCTGGCAAATGGGACTACATTATTTTAGGATATCTGGTCAACACGAATGATTTGGTCCAAAGGGTCTGTTTCTGTGCTGTACAACTCTATGACTCTGACACTGGTTCATTTTCAGTCAGTTTAGCAACAGTGATTGTTTCAATTCAATCAAGATACCAGAGTGCAGTCAATTTCTCTGCACAAAGCAGCATATTAAAGAGGGTGGGGGAAGGAGAAATGATTAGGAAGGAAAAGCCTGGGGGAGGAAATGTCATAGTGGTATTGTTCTTAGACTATTAATCCAGAGATCCAAATTAAAGTTCTTGGGACCTGTGTTCAAATCCCACTATGGCGAATGGTGGAATTTGAAGTCAATTTAAAAAACATCTGGACTCTAGTGATGACCATGAAACCATTTCCAATTGTTGTAAAAACCTACTGGTTCACTAATGTCCCCTTTAGGAAAGGAAACTGCCATCTGTATCCAGTCTGGCCTACATGTGACAGCA